TTCGGGCGGTCCAGCATCACGATCAGGTCAGTTGCAACATTACTCAATGATTTTGCATGATCAGGCCTTGAAATTAACTTTTCTTCGTATTGTCCCAGCACTGTCCATAAACTAAATTCAATAGGCACGAAATGAGGATGAACTGTTCCAACCTGTTTTTCAGGAAATATTGTTTGACATGAACTTGAAGTCAACTTCATGTTGCTTACGTTCTGACTATAAGGCGCACTATAATTGCATAGTAGACAGGACGGGACGTGTGTTTAATTTGTAAACAAAAGAAGGGCTGACATTCTGATCTTTTTTTTTTCTGTTGTCCTAAAAGTGCCCCAAAGTGTATTTTAGCCCAGCCTACATTTTAGTGGTCAGTGGCCATTGGACCGCCTTGATTTCGAGCTCTGATGATTCGCAATGAAGTCTTACTCATCGAGAGATTATTTTCTTACTTACGGTTCATGTAGCGTGGTCCTAGTGGACTAGCCCCCTGCTGTAGTGACACAATAGTGTGGCCCAGGGCTACAGATACGGAGATGGGCACCGCCATATGCAACCATGCCAATGGTTGCGGAGTGGATTTCACCTTTTAACATGTAGCATGGTTGTTTTTTCCTTGTCCTTTTGTGTACGACTTTTAATTATGTAAATTGGGTGCTTTCTGTTGTATTTAGTCGTTTTTTTTTGCTTTTGTTTGTATCACAGACACAGCGCATTATTTTGTCGTGAGAGCAAAATGGAAAACCTGGCTACCGTCATCATCTTTGCTTTGTTAGCCACTAGTTTGGGAAAAGTCGCTGATTACAACACTGATTATACAGGACAGAACTTAACACATGTCCCGATAGACTCCGTCGCGCCTGACACTCACACGCTGAAGTTGTCAAATAACAAAATAACCCACCTCCCCTCTTTCAATACAACTCCTGAAATACGATACCTTTTTATTGACAACAACAAAGTGAACAACATATTACCACAAACGTTCCAAGGACTCCGTGAGCTAGTCTACCTTGATGTTGACAGAAATGAAATCGGTTCCCTTCGTCAGTTCGCTTTTTCTACACTCACGACAATGTCAGAACTCATCCTCTCACATAACTACATTTCTCACATATCAGAACATGCTTTTTACGGTTTGGAAAGTTTGGAGGTCCTCGAACTCTCAGGAAACCGACTTTCTGTATTTCCGATGCGGGCCATCAAATTAGTCCCCAGTAAACGTCTCTATTTGGTTTTGCTTCGATTGAACAACATCAGTAAAGTACCGAGAAACATATTAAAAACGGTGCGTCCAGAGACGTCTTACGATTTGCGAGGAAACCCTTTGCGTTGTCCAGATGAATTAAACAACACAGAGTATGCAGACACGTTTTCGGCCCGTGTATACCTCATCAACACACGAAAGAATCGATCTTTCGTTAACAAAGTAATATTTTTCAAAGAACGATTTAAATACTTCGGCGTTGCTCCCTCCATCTTCAAGGTATTTGAAGACACTGACATCCTAACAGAATTAACAAAAGATGTTGTACCTGTTATAACTGGCAAGGGTGTTTCATACTATTTGAATACCCCGAGTGGACGCATAGAGCTTACCAATTCTGCTAACGTCAGCATGATGGCAAACATACCAGTAAAGGGCTCAGGTGTATACACCTTTGTAGCGGACAAAGGTGACGTAAAAGCGAAATTTGATCTTGTCTTGTGTGTGGTTAAGAAAAACAGTGACAAACGGCAACACCAAACAATAGATAAAAACAAACTAAACAACTGTTCCACTTTTAAAAATAATTCCTGTTGTTTTCCTGGGTTTGGTTCAGGGTCATCTGATCAGAAGTTGTGTGCTCCTGGCAACATCACTTCAGATACAAATAATTCACGTGGACCTAACGTTTTGTTGATCACTGCCATTACCGTTACTACTTTCCTTCCGGTACTCATTCCAACTGTGGTGTTTTGTTGTAAAAGACGGTCTAGTACCGAGCGAAATGACACTAACACGTCTATGAATGCAACATTTCATGCGGGAGTGCAGGCTATCGTTGTCTGTGTTCCTGCCGTACCCAATATATATCACATACAGGAAGAGCGCGATCCGAACACTTTCTCCCTACGGCAATCGGTCCAAACTCCGTCAGTTACAGGACAGGTACGGCCTTGTCACCATTTCGTGCCTCAAACCGCTGCTGCGGACACGGCCTTTACTACACGAGCAGAAATCCATCAGTACAGTAACGATGATACACCCGGACATTCTGGGGACACTGACGAAGGACAGGAACATCACTACGCCTCTGCAGCACCGCACGAAGACAGCTCCAGTCCGTGGGCGACATGTCCAGACTCGCTACAACTCGGATCTGTACAACCTGTCAGTCAAATCGATGAAGCCGAGTGTGATGAGGAAGAAAGGCCGTACGGAATGGCAACAGATAATCCATTGTATGAGGACACAAACATAAATCGGAGTGATGAAACTCCACATTACTGTGCGGTAAATGAGAACCAAGTCGAATCGACCCCTTCTAGTAGTTTGTATGGACAGCAACCCGAAGACACAAACCTACCTGTAAATCGGGGTAACCCAACTCCATATTACTGTGCGGTAAATGTGAACCAAACTGTCCCTCCTTTTTCAAGAAATAGCTTGTACGGACAGCAACCAGAAAACAATATCATAGCACATGGCAGTACCCGCACTACGGACATCCTATATGAAAGCTGTCTGGCAACAGACGAGTGACCAAATTAAATAAAATGCTGTGTCTCTATTGTACTAGGGATAACCAGAAAATAACTGGGTACGAAAGATAACAGAGAGTACCCAGGTCATTCAGACTAGCCTTCTTTTCAGGCGTTCCGGGATCGGTCGTTTTTTTTTTTGGGGGGGGGGGTATGTCATCAGTCCATCATCAGGCCGTGTGCTTTATCATATTCCTAAATGTCCCACACTGTCGCCCCGAATATCTCAGTGACCGCCCATAAACACCTCTAGTACCGATGTACTCTGGTGAATGTGATAAATTCAATTTTCGTCCCGTTTACGTATATTTTTCGACAAGAATAAAAACGAAATGCCAAATTGAAGTTACACTCAAGCAGTGTTTCTTTTTATTGACTCATAGAATATAATACACATATTTCCGTTAAGCCTCCGCTGTGTGATGATGTTGCTAATTTGCATGTACGTCATACATGATGTGTATTTAGCGTGTAAAAACATAATTGTAAAATAAAAATGAGAGATTTCCAATCTAAAATTACATAAAATTTTTCTACCACAGGTTTTAGAAATTTATGATGTCTTCTTCCTGATAATAGAAAGATACATTAAGTACAAAATCACCTGTTTATGGGCATAAAGAAAATAACATTATAGTGGACATAAAAAAATCATCATGTAGAGATCAGGCAATTTTGAATTGAAGATATATATGAACATACAAACAATATTCTGCTTCTTCTATTCATGGTTCTTTAGTGCTTCTATATTGATACTCGTACAACGTCACTTCACTTGCACAGGTGCTATACAGAGGTATTTCCCTGGAACTGTTACTATACAGCCATTTCACTTGCACTGCAACTAAATCTGTAACTGTCATCTCACCTGTACTGGCACTTTAAAGAGACAGCTATTACTATACAGAGTCATTTCACAGGCAGCGTGACTATGCAGAGCTGTGTTACTTGCACTGTTACTGTATAGAGCTATTTTACATACACTTTTACAATACATTTTAATTGACAATGTATAGATACTGTACTTTTACAGATTCAGTTTCCTTACCTCTTAGGTAGTCACAATGCACTTACGATTGATACAAAGCTGTCATTGCTTTTAAAGACAATGCAGAAAATTGAAATACGTCGTCTACTTCTCTTATAATCATTTGAAGAATTAAAAGAAACAAATCAAGGCACTTAATTCTATAACAAGAAGTATCATCGCTCATTTTTCTTTCAACGTTTGAACGGTGATCATATCATTTTTGAAAAACCAGTGGGGAGTACTTGTTTATACCAGGACCAAGGGTCCTTAATTCTGTAGTTTAAGGTAAAACTTACAATGCAATTAAGTATGTTGTTAGTCGTTACAAAGTGTCCTTACCATTAAACAATGATGCAAACAATTGAAACACGCCGCCTCTTTGTTATATTACAGTTACTTACAGAAATGCACAATGAATTATTGAAACTAAACTGCATAACAAGAATTCATTAAGTCATTGTCTTTTTATCCAAATATTCATTACATCATTTTCATAATTTTAAAAATCCCTCATAATCCAAAATCACAAGGTTGCACTTCTATTGCTTACGTGTTCGACTGCAGTGTATTGTTGCCAATTGACAATTTCTTCAAATATAAATCTAACAGAGGTACAAAGCAACATCTAGAAAAAAACACTGACTCACACGACGTAATATCGAGATCCTGTCACCTTTTCACCTTTAATGATGTTTGACAGCGGTGGTGAGAGCTCGGTCTGTTGCTTAGGTAAGTCCTGCAGAGGAATGGCCAAATGTACTGTCAATAAGGTGTTAAATTTAGCATTTGTACCCATAAATGAGCAATAAGTGGTATTTAAGATTGAAATCGTGGTAAGTCTAAAGCTTGTGAACGTTCTGCTGGTTGTTTTGATACTTGATACTTTATTAGGATATCCATTAGTTGCACAACTTTTTGTGCGACTTATCTTCCTGGATTCCAACAACACAAGACGAAACAATACACAGACTTAATAATCATATAAAATGACATTGGGCATCTACGCCACTAGACTTCTACACAATTGTCATCCTACGCATGCTTTACAATCATTAAAATGACATGCAACTTTACACATGTTTTCAATAGTGACAGGAAATATAATATTTGTGTGAAGTACCTGGAGCCACTTGGCATATGAATGGATAGGTCTCCATGCATTTGCCGTCATTCCACTCTGCTTTTCGGCCTTCGTAGTAGTAAACGCAATGTTCCTTGTCATGGCTATTACTTGGCTCTCCCGGAGCCCAGGATTTGTACCTCCCAAGAGCAGAACCATCGATCCACTCAAAGCTTCCTTCTCTGCGCTGATCATGGAGACCAAACCAGAAAGGGGAGTTGCTGTCGACGTTGGTCTTGAGGTTGATAAGGAAGGCGTTGGTAGCAGCGTCTCGGGGCATGGCGAGGGTGCCACCATCTAGGCGGCAATGCAGGGCCGAGTCCCCGAAGTTCGCAGGGAATCGGAACGCCTTGTAGCAGGTTACACCCCACTTTGTGTAACATTCAGGACAATCTGCTGAAAACAAATATAAGGCTAATTTAGATGTGATAAGTATTATTGACAAAGGACTAAAACTCTCAAAATATTTTTTAATAGTTTAGAACTTTTTTCTTGGATATTGTTTACGCATGACTTTTATCAAAGAAGTTTCCTTTAAGCAATATCACTAGAATAGTGCAGCATAATAAGTTCTGAGCAAAAAAATGAATTGCAATATATTTATTTTATTATACTTAAAGCAGGTGTAGCTGTGTTTACTTTATATGTAAATTGTTTTACCCTTGTTTGACGTACCTGCTGTTGGAGGATGTCCAGGTGGTCCGGTAGGTTTTGTACACACCGAGGCCCCGTCTTTTCCAGGAGGACCAACGGGCCCCTTAAACCCACGAGGTCCAGCCGGCCCGATGGGTCCCTGTTCTCCAGGAGGTCCAGGAGGCCCGGTAGACACAGGACCAGCTGGCCCCATGGGTCCCTTTTCTCCTGGAGGGCCAGCTGACCCACTGGGTCCCTTTTCTCCGGGAGGACCAGCTGGCCCCATGGGTCCCCACATTCCAGGAGGCCCAGAAGAACCAACAAATCCTTCAGTTGCAAGAAAAAAACTATGTACATCCTGTGTACAGCCTTTAACCCTATCTAGACGGGGGGGGGGGGGGTAAAAGTGCCCGCGCCAACTTTGATGTCAGATAGCGTCCGAACGGTTTGCACAAGAACCAACAAACTTGGTTTCATAACGACATTAATTTTTTTTCTGATTTGTTGTTACTAGCACACCATCATTTAATAATTTGGTGGTCATACGATATACCGTTCGCGAGTTCTGTGGAAGGGGTAAGAGCCCCCCCCCCCGCTCCCGATTTCAAAACGTGCGGTCTAGATAGGGTTAAAAGACATAAACTTAATCTGAAACTGTTCACATGACAACACAGATGCGTTAATTTTGATCGCAAAAACGACACACAATAACTGAAGAAATAAATGCACCCTGGCATATCATTGTAATACTTACTAATAGGATAAAATTAACTTATGTTCCTGTATATATTGCTAGTGCATAAACGATATTGAATTTAGCTTCCATAGAATAAACAATTACAAGATCTCATAATATTGAATTGATGCATGCATATTTGCGATAGAAAATGCTACTTAACCTTACCTGCTTGTAGTTGTTGCTTGATCTTTTTGTTCTGTTCTTTAAGTCTACCCATCTCTTTAGAAAGAGTCGTCATGTTAACTTTATAAAGGAAGAAAAAAAATCACGATAGATTTATAATGCAATTACTATAAGTCCAGCCTAGCTGCAAAGTATAACAGTAATACCAAAGAAATTCCAAGAAGATTTTGATAAATAATCAACCAACTAACCTGCAAAGAATGCCAGTATAACAACAATAACCACTAGTTGCATTATGGTAACGGCAATCCACAGCTTTTTGTTAAGACCGCCCTCCGGTGTCTTGTTAGTGACTGCACCAGACGTCGCTGTTTATTAAAAAAAATGTCATTTCATCCTTTCGTCGGTGTTTTTTTTATATGCATATATTATTATATTGTAATTCGTATACCGCACCATAATTACTAAACCAGAGAATATACTAGACCAATTCGTAACCATCCACCACAAAATGTCTATGTGACAAGCAGGGATTTGGTGCTACAAAATATTATTGGATATGGTATATAGTATTTCCATTATTGCCCCATTATTAAGAAAATAGTGTAAATGATATCCTATTAGGTATGCAAATTTGTTGATAAAATGCAGAAACGTAAACAGAAACTACACCCAATTTTGCCAATAATTACATAGGATATCAACATATACCCAAACTCTCTACCATTGCGAAATGAAGACCACAGCATGTTTTGAAATTTAGAAACACACCTATTTGGTCAAAAAATATTCCGCTCATCAAAATAGAATTATATGGGCTCACGACAGTTCTGAAAGGTGTGAAACAAAACAAAACAAAACAAAAGAAAACAAAAATGAAATATATTCTCATGATGTTTCCAGCATATACAATCATTTACCCGCTGCAGGTGTGTACATGGGGTTGGGGTTATTCGCTGCGGTGTTTGCAATGGACCTCCACCAACTAGTCGGAGACTGTTGTATGGGCGTGGCGCCTGAAAAAGACAAATTTTGTATGGTAACTTAAAAATGCCAAAAATCAAAATTTGGCCTTACAGTAAACCATTGGTGAAAGCCAACGCCAAAATTAAATGGGAACTAAGCCCCTATAATGGATTGGAGCATCTTGGGTTGCGAGTACTGTTTCCAGGGCCAGTATACAGGCTAACTTCTCTTTTAGCTGTAAAACTAACATATCCACAAGTAAACTTTACCAAAGATTCCACACCGAAAATTATACAATAGATAACATTCACTACGACTGCTCACAAGACCAGACATTACATTAACAGCAATGTTTCAGTAACGCTACATACATAGACGGCCAACCTGTTACTATCGATACACTGGCTAACAATTACATTAAAATTTCACCACTGACCATATAATGAGACCCTAATAAATTTGAGTCCAACTGGGGCCTAGTCCGACATCTAGGCTAATAATAAATCCGATTACGAGTTAAGATTCTTATTCGTTCACTGACTTTAGTTATGATGAAATTTGTAAATTTCAGGATTTCAAACAATCGGGAGCTTCACGAAAAACTGTTAACTGTCACTTGTCTCATTTTTCATACGTTTCTTATCATTTTTGTAGTATTTTCCCCATTTAGATGTTGCAATTTTACGGTACAGAATTTAAGACATAAAAGGGTTACAACTGTAACCGCCACGATATTCTAGATACTAAACCCTTTTCCGCTGAACACAAGTCTGAGAAATGTGCAATGAAATACATTTTGAGTAAGAATATCAGACCACTCAGTGCCCTTTGAGCTTTGAATCGGTACACACAGGATTTCATTAAAAAAAACTCACCAGCATTGCTACTCTCGTCCTGGGACTGTTGCTCCCCCGACATGGTTCCACTAGTCAGGTCTCTGTACAGCAAAAACACAAATAAATAAAAAAAACACGCCCCACCTCAGACAGGGAGCTTGTTGACTGAACCACGAACGAAAACCCAAGTGATGTAAAGCTTTACTAATCAAAATTGAAACATGTAAGATGAAAGGGTACTGCTACTTTGTCGTTCTTTCCAACGCCTACACCAATCATCCATGGTATTTGTTCTCGTAAGCAAAATATGAAAACAAGTTAATGAAAACAGACTTCAAAAGACGTCAGACCATTTCTTGAGAGGGGTGAAGGAAGCCATATACATCAGGGCCCATCACCGTTCATTGAACCGTGACGGGGGCCGACAGTTCTTGAGTTATGCTGTTCACAGACAGACAGACAGACAGACAGACAGACAGACAAACTGACGGACAAACAGACAGACGGACAAACGCTACTGACAACATAACCTTCTTGGCGAAGGTAAAAACCTCATCATGATATCTTATGTAATGGTAATACATTGTTCTGGTAATAACGCATTGGAGGTGGTTCGATTCACCCATGCACATTGACGTGTGAAATGTTAAACAATTTCGCCAGATGGCGCAAATTCACAAATGGCGATAGCATGTAGGCCCCCAATCAGGGTAGTACATATGTCGCAGGGCTAGCATCTGTACTGATACAATGTTTACAGTAACCGAATCCCAAACTCAATGCCCCCAAACTGAGCCCTTAACAAAACAAAAGGAACTGTTGCTTTGATTCTTTTTTTGTTTTCATATGCTGTCCTCATATGCAAAATTGTTTCATGCTATTTGTTTCATATCAAGCTTCCACACCATGCTAAGCTAAAGCGTGATTTCCAAAACCCCTATACGAGCCTTCATTTAAATTATTTACGTGTAGTGGGCGCGACTGTCTTGATTTGCGTGAATAAAACCATACCACTTCCAGTCAAGGCGAGTAGCAAGCTAAGGAGGTCGACAGGACCAAGGAACTAACTCTTCAAGAAGGTACATATATCGTCTTCCTATCTTTTAAATTTTAGCTTGCACGTTTTTTCAATTTCTTGGCAAATTTCACCTCGTATGTTTTTCAGGCATAGCACAAAAACAACGCCAGTTGTTAGACTTTAAGGGCTGGCGTAGCTCCAGTTGTCACACAAATGAGGCCTTTGTTATGCTTTAGGAGGAAAGATACAGAGACGTGTTTTTCTGATGATCATGACAACATCTTCTGACCAAGAGGGGCAAGCTGGCCAAAAGATAATAACAACCCCCCCCCCCCCTGCTATCGTGACATGATATCATTAGTGATATTTAGAGGTTAATTAGCGTTTTGAAACCAACAGCTGTTTTCTCTCTATTTTCATGCGATTGAGTTTAGCGTAACATATATAAGTAATCCTAAGTCCTCCTAGATTGTTATTTTTCGTCGTTGAAATATAACAAACGACGGCACCATAGGACTACGCAGCGCAGCTGTTGTTGATGTGGTGTACAAATAAAGGCGAGTATCCGCCTGGTATAATTAATGGCCCTTCCCTTCCCTTATGTTAAGCCCGGTGGGACTATTGAGTAGGTCGCGTTACTGGGAAGAGGTCAGGGGCACCGAAAGGGAATATATTTTTTAGTTGAACCCAGTGAAAGCTAGCACCACTAGAGACCTCACGAGTGCGACATTTGCATTTGGGGATGTTCCAAGGTCCCCTTCACAGGGTTAATAACATCCATATGCGACAAATTTATACGTGAACGTATTAGACCCATGTAGGTTTCACTACAAGGGCCACGCATTGTAACTGTAAAGTTTTATGTAAATGTAGCAGAGCAATTTTAATACATGTAGCTACAAATATAAACCAGGAGAGAAAGAATTATTTGAGGGGAAAGAGAATTGGAAAATTGGATCCTCGGCTATAGGACTATAGGGCCTGCAAAAGAAAACAGTTCCAATACGCATGGTCTAACACAGGGAGTGCTGTATTAAAATTTACTAGGGGTACATGTTGGCACTGAATCAGAGGAGCTGCCCTGTGTAGACCCTGGATATAGTCTGGCATCCAGGCTATGTGTAGGAATCTAGGCTATGTACAGGCATCCGGGCTATGTGAAAGCCTCAGATATTAAACTGATAAATTATGACCTACTGGCTTTGTTTCCGTCAGGAACTGACCGTTAAAAACACCGACCACTTTAGCCTTATTCGATGGAGGGGCTAGGATTAGGAATACATGTACGTGCTGGGTGTCGTTTTAGATTTAGATCAGTTCAACTGAGCATCACCAGGTCATGTCCTTGACGTGGAGGGAGGTTCACCATGGGGGGTTACAGCAACTTAGACTGGTCTTTTACACGACTTATCGGTTATTCTCTCGGCGCTGTATACAACCTTGAAAACCCTTTGATTGCCATTTGGGTCGAAATTAATGCTTATTGTTGACAGAGGGTAAGAGTGAAATAACCTTGCAAAACTTGGCACTCCCAGCCCCGAGGACAGACAACACTTAAGCTCCTGTTCCGTATAACAGGAGCTTTCTGACTAATTTGCATTATCTTGTCTTGACTTGTCTGAACTTTGTTCCTTTTTCGACTTCCAAAAACTTGTCTTCACTTTATTTGCATATCAATCAATAGGTTGTGCTTATAAACCTGCATTTCCCCTCTGGTCTCTCAGTCACTGACGAAAGCTAGTGGACACTAGGTGAAACGTCTGACGTTTTCAAAATCATATCCAGCTGCTTGAGTAACTGCTTTTTGACGAACCTTGCAAAACGTTTTCTTTTGTTGCAGTGCAGACATAATCCGGTAGGGGGCACTGTACACCATGGCGATCCTGAAGAACAGCTGCTGCGGTTGCTGTAAGGTCCGCGAGGGGTCTATTGTCGTTGGGGCCCTGTTTTTGGTGAGTAACAGGAACCAAGTTTTAAATTTGCATTATATAACATATAGAAGTAAATCTTCTGGTTATTTGTTAACAATTTAGGTTGCATTAACCCTACTACATTGCAAATTCTGTTCCATTCATGATCAGGAAGGGTAGGTACTAACACATGACTCTCACAAGAGTGTTTTCAATCTGAAAACACAGCTGTCGGTCATACATTTAGGTAGTTTAAATTGTGGTGGTAGCATAAACTGAGTGCACCGAGTGTGGGACCACGACATGTAAGATTGTGAAATTGCAAAATTATGGTGAAAAATGGAAGCAAAAATTACAATAATGCAATTTTGAAAACTAATTTTTAATGCACTAATATTTACCCTTTCAAGCACCATTCCTCTCTCATTTACTCAGAAATATCAACTCTTCATGAAATTGCCATTTTTTCATCAACGGTGAAAACAACGTCTAAAATGCCCACGATAGCCTTACAAGTTACAAACGCTACGTTTTTTAATGTATTTTAATATATGTTTTAGAATATAGTATTTTTGATATATTGGTGTGTTACCCGAAGAGTGGCTATACCATACATGTACAGTACTAGTATATTTATAAAAAATACCTCAAGTGATTTCCTTCTGATTGCTGACAGCTCCTCCATCTGATTGACTTGGGGATGAAGGCGAGCAGCATTGTCAACGCCTCCGCCACTGGTCAACCAGGTAAGCACTCTTTTCAAACCGATGCCCAGCCGGGTAGTTCATTTTTCACTTTTGACGGAGCCTCGTGGGACTCTGCTAGGATATCTGTGATATCGGTTTTCGAGCGAAAAAATGCAATTATCTGGACTTTTTTTTAAACATTATGATTTTGAAAAATCACCCAGAAAAGCAAACGACATAAAAATGGCAGCTTTATGATAAAAAGTTTCTGCTAATGGAGGCAGAAAGGCCTGGGGTCCCTTACTGTTACGTTTACTACAGGCAACAAATCACGTCCTTTAACCCTACCTAGACCGGGCTTTTTTGGGCATGGGGGGACCGCCCCCTCAGAACCCCCATTTGACCCCCCCCCCTCAGAACTCGCGAACGGTATGTCGTATGACCACCAAATTTTTAGAGGATGGTAAACTAGTAAAAATTTATTATATGTACAATTTTAAAATCGTTATGACGTAAAATGACGCCATTATGACGTCATTAATGTGATTTTATTGGCCAAAACCGTCTAGATAGGTTTTTCACTGAAAACTAAATGGTATTCAACATAACTGTACCAAAAGTGTTTATGACAGAATATTAGGGTGTACTAAGTCTTTTGTTGCCCATAGCAACACCGGTGACGTCATAAAATGACGTCATGCACATTTAAAAGAAAACATCAACTTGTAACGTATGGTGACTTCTAGTTGCAGGTACGGACGCCGCCAGTGTTGCCATCGACGTGGTGGCCATCATCATAGATTGTCTGATGATCTATGGCGTCGTCAAGGTAAGTCAAGTTCAATCCACTTTCATTGGACGTTTGTAGTCACATGATCATGACGTAATTTTGTGTCTACAGCTGGCGTCCGCCATCTTGGCTGGTGAAGGAGGTTCCTAAACATAGGATCTACTAATGTATTTTGCATTTTTGCAAAAAATAGTTCTTAAGATGATTTCATTTATTGGATCAAAATTGAAGGGTTGTGTTTTGAGGTATGTCAAGAATATGCACATTATTTCCATGCTTGAAATAAGTTGACATTTCTATGTTTATAATCAAACGTTTCTACAGATACGTTAATAATCATTTTATTATCATTATATCTATGTTTGAAATGAGTTGATATCATTATGATTAGTGGACTATGACACCATCAAATGTCTTTACAGATGGAAATAATTGATTACTATTATTATTTCCATGCTCTGTATCATTTTCCGTTAGTATTGTATTATTAGCTGGTTCAAGTTTTATATCTTTTTATGTGAAAGAATTAATAAAAAAAAAGAATATGTACATAATTGTGACACATATCTGTCCACAGGCCATCAACGTGTTGCTGATTGTGTGGGTTGTGTTTGTCATCATCATTCTGGTGGCGGAATTCATCATCGTCGTCGTCGTCACAATCATCACGTTTGCAGCTCTTCGAGCGTCGGTAATCACATCTTACACCACAAATCCAAACGGAGTTTTCTTAGCTAAGGCCACACCGATTTAATTTTATGGATGACATCCGCGCGCGCATTAATTTTCGCCTGATTTTGAAAAAAAAAACAAGAAATTTTGTTGCCCTTTGACAGTGGTCAACATGCCGAAAATGGGAAAAGATGTCTGTTGCCATGCCGGGGGGCAGATAACTAAAGAGAGGAGACAAGAAAAGGCTCTGATTTAATGTTTTGTTTCTTACTTTGATGCAGTGATATGTGATGGTGGCTGTGTATATGATGTTCGCATTGAATAAAAGCCATTTGTACAATGATTGAGTCAACATTTGTAGAGACCTTGTTTTTTTCCGCCGACCTTGTTTTTTTTCGCCCGCTCGCATTAGATTTGGAGTCGGCGGAGGATGTCATCCATAAAATTTACTTGTTGTGGCTTAACTGTGTGTCGCTAAATTTCTGCTTGTCTTCGTAGTGCCTAAATATTATACACGGCAAGAAATTGGACATAGTAAACCAAATGGCATTACCAAACCTACCAAAAAAACTTACTATGGAATGACATTTCACCCAAGGGAATTCTTTCAGCAAGTATTGATTCAACCAGCCTCTATCCCCAACATGAGATGACCACTCACAAAGCACGGCATGGGGCATTTAGCAAGGCCACACCCCAACCTGATGATTGGCTACTCAGTGAAGTTGGTAGACTTCTGCAGAAAACCTATCTTTGGGTTAGAGTTAGGGTAGAGTTGGAGTTAGAGTTAGATTTGGGGCCATTTTCCGGGCCAGGGTTGGACTTAGGATTGGGGATAAAGTTAGTCTCTTTTCACATGACGGCTCTTCTACCCTTAGTCTCAGGTACATTGAAAACTGCTAGATTTACGAGTTCTGCATGTCATAGTATATTCTAATTACTAGTAATAGGTCAGTTTTATTTAATTGAACTTTATAGACGGATAACATCGATGTTTCCCCACTTTACACACCTAAGTAATACAGACAAATTCACATTTTTAATGAACTTAGACAAACCCCCGATCCTTAAACTTGTATGTACTTATCTTTTCAACATCACAGAGAAGCGAAGAGAAGTCGAAATTATGTAACAGACTGTAGTGCTAGTACTAGATTGATCTTGTTGTGTATATATTTGTGTATTCAAGTTAACCTTTGTACCTAACCCAGTGGGTATGTTTGTACAATAAAGGTCTTCATTCATTCATTCATTCATTCATTCATAACGACTACTTATGACGAGTAAGATGTATATTACTTTCTTGATCCACAGGTCCAATCAGAATACGAGGGGTCTGTTTTTGGAATCGCCATCTTGATCCTGATCCCAGTCTGGATCATCTACATCCTCGTCCTCCTGTTGGTGGTGAGTCACGTGACTGAGGTCACAGAGGTCACAGAATGGAACTTTCTTTTCCATCGGCATAATGAAAGAAACAGAAATATTTCTTTTAGTTTCTTTTATTGAACTGTACGCTAGACATGGGCTAAGTACCTTTAGTCGATTTTTACTCTTCTTTCTTTCAGCATCACTTTTATCTTAAAAATACAATAAATATTATACCTGTTCCCCTTTAGAATATTTTTCAATAGGTCACAAACCCGGATCAACTTTGTTTATATACAGTACATGTATACCTAAAAGAATAAAAGATAATAGCATTTCAACTTCGATTTGTACTTAAGATACAAATTAAAATGTTTAATAACCAAGCTACCTTTAAACTCATTTACCTTTTTAAAAATTTTTATTCCTAGATCTATGGTATCCTTGTGGTGTACTCTCACTACCAGAACCTTCGTGACGGCATCGTTGATGACGGTACAGCACCGCCCCCTGGCGCCTACCCGCCAGGTACTGCAGCTCCTCCGCCGGGAGGCATGTACCCACAAGCAGCGGCCCCTCCCCCTGGTTATGAGGTGATCTCTCTATCTTTAAGATCAAATCGTTGTAGATTATTTGTTTATTTGTTTATTGTTTATTTGATCGATCTCCATTAGTGCGTACAAATCAATGATACAACACTAGTCTCTTTCTGGAGTTGTATTGAGTACAGACACTGCATTATACTACACATACATACATACATATACAAGAAGCATAACGTAACTTAAACAAGGCAAGTAAAATGCAACATAGCAAATGAGAATACAACATGGGAAATGAGAATACAACATAGGGTATAAAACTGCTGAGAGGTCAGAGGTCTCAATACAGTTAAGAGCAAGTAATTCTATAAATCGGTGTAGATTGATCTTTGTATATATCGGTCAATCACAATCAATAGTTCGACCAATCACAGCATGGCAATTAGTGGTTTAAGCAATGACAAGTGCTATCTGTACATTTAAATCGTTTTAGATTGACCCTTGAAGCTGTCGGTCACTATCAACAATTCAACCAATCACAGTATGGCAATTTGTGGTTCAACCAATGACAAGTGATATCTACCTGTACATTTAAATCGTTGTAGACTGACCCTTGTAGCTCTCAGTCACTATCAACAGCTTAACCAATCACAGCATGGCAATTAGTTATTCAACCTATAGAAAGTGGTTAAATGTTGTACTCCATCGTGACATATTGTGTCATCTTTTTTTCACAGATGCAGGGAATTCCACCGAAAGTGTGAGGTGCTTCAAGACCACATACGACGACCTTTGACGAATGTGAATTAAGTCGCTTTTCTGTCCTTCTTTGGGACTGCTTTAGTTAGGAATTCTTATGTGTCCGTTTGCTTGTGTTGATTGAAAGTAGACATTTTATCATGTAACACATATGAGCTTTAATGCTAATGGCGAACTTATCACTTTATTTACTAATTGGTTATGGCCATACTCTGCGGTATACGCTGAGCGCTGAACATGTTGCAATATCATATTCACTTTTTAATGGAAGGCATTGAATGCTTATATGGGACCATTTTGTACTGCTTAAATCTCAACAAATAAAGTCATTTTTTGCGACTTTGAATTTTGGCTTTGTACTTTTTAGGTATTATTATTATTATTATTACGAAGTATATATGCTAGAACATTTCTAATGATATAAGTTACAAGTCTGTAGTGACATGAGCAAAATCTAAGCCTATACTGCAGTACCACTAAGGGCGGCAACGAGAAGATTGCACAACACTACACTAGAATAATAAACTGTAGAAACGCAATATAGAACAGCAAATATTGGTGTCCATTAAGTTGCCATAACAATGTGTAGATGGGAGAATCAGTTTTTGGCATAAACTTTGCAAATAAGGGCTCAAACTATTAAAACAATTAAAGAAAAGGTACTTCTGTCAAAGACTTCTTCACTTTTAAGCCCTCAGTCTGGTACAACATGTTTTGAAAAGAAAATGTTAGGAAGATAAACAAGTTGTATCGAACATATTGTTAACCAGAACATTGTTTCTCCATGTTCTGATATATGTTACCTTCGCAGACTTTTCAAATGTTTTCCTGGGTTGCCCCTCCTCCTAATTTCAGTAGACGGTTTTATCAGACGAATGACTCGTATTGATGTCCTGCTCAATGGGTTTGGGTTCCTTTTAAGTTGATTACATTTTTACTGCCCTTTTGAAACAATCTAGATCATTTGAGTTGTGATTTCTCACTATGAGTCATGTTATAGACATTTTTTTTTCAAATGAGTCTGCTCTGACAGAAAAACACAAGTCGATCCGGGTGTTGGTCTTGTTTTTCTGGTCTGACGTTGTTGTCAGGTTTTTCCTGACAGAATCCTTATCCGTCGCTAACACCTACAGATAGTTTCCAGTCAGAATCCAGTCAGAGGCAACGCATGCAAGGAAAAATGCAGACGGCATACGAGAAACAGTTACGGGATGTGCAGCGTAACACCACGGACTGTGAGATACTGACTACTGACTGTATCGAGCCTGACTCCCAGGCCCCCCTCCCTTTGAGCTCTACTTATGAAAATGTTGAAGAAGTCGTGGATGAAGCACCGAGGTCACCACGTGTACTGTACCAAGACACGACCGATCAAAACGAGTCATTCCCAAATGTTGGAACAATCGCGAATGAAGCACCGAGGTCACCACGTGTACTGTACCAAGACACATCAGACCAAAACGAATCATTCCCACTCGGCCGTACAAGTGAAGAAGAACCTAAAGCAACGTCAGATATCTACGGAGACAATGAAGACAAACAGCAACATGTTGGAGGCAGCAAAGTTGTCCGAGACAAAAATCAGGAAGAGCGTACTGAGACGTTGTCACCGCTGTATTCTGTCAAAACTGAATCAGAATATGAAAGTTGCAGGCCGGCATCCCCATCTGAGCAATATTCAACAAACCGCCATGATGAAGTGAAAGAAACTGGAGGTTCTGCAGCTAAACAAGGTACGACATTATGATTTATTGGATATTATGGATGGCGGCTAAGGCGATTCAAATCGTTTAAAACGTTCTATGAATCTACCAAAGGAGACAGGGAACTTATTTAACCACAGATAGTATTCTTGCATGGTCTTGATCTGATTTTGTTTCATTAGATGATAAAATGATTACAAAAGAATCTATAAATGGATTGCCATAAAACTAAAACTTCGGTCCCAATTGCGACGGTGCCCTACGGGGATGTCCTGGCCGGGCTCTGCTACGCACCAGCTCTTGTGGGCACAATTGAAAGTTGCCTTCGAGCTGCCATGCCATGCCATTTAATATGTAATTGAGAACGAGAGGAAAACCGGCATTTTTTAAATCGTAAAAGATCCCAGTAAACGCATATAGTCAATTCCGCATCACTGTGTGGGATGTTATTGTCATTATTTAGTAATGATTTTAGTTCTTTGTAATTGTTTGTCGAAGAAGTTAGTCGAGTATATTCGAGTTAAGAGGGTGAATTCGTGTAAACTGCCTTTCCCAAGGGCACACAATCGGTGGCATGTCAGGGTTTGGACCAGAGGCATTTCGTTGACCTTGTTAAATTTACCGAATCAAGCTAGTAAATCCTATGTTTTTCTAGATTAATGCATGTAACCAATATTAGTGTAATTCTTATTTTGAGCACTTTTCAAGTCGGAACTTGTGTACTAACTTCATTTTTCATCAAACCTAACACTGCAGATGGAGGAAGACGACCAGAAGGCAATGGTGACAACGACGACCCCGACAGTCACCCGTCCAACAATGACCCTCCGGACAACCACGTGTGCAACAACGACAGTCCCGACAACAACGTGTACAACAACGACAATCCCGACAGTCACGTGCACAACAACGACAATCCAAACAACCACGTGTACAACAACGATTATCCAGACCATCACGTGTACAACAACGATGATCCCAACAACTACGTATACTACAACGACAGTCCCAACAACCACGTGTACAACAACGATGATCCAGACCATCATGTGCACAACGTTGAACCTGGTGACCGACCACCTGAAGTCCAAGGTACCTTGTCTTGTACCATTGTCGAAGAATATATTTTTTTGCAGTACCTGCCTTGTGATTAAGTAGCTTTATGTAACTTCCGGAGGAAAAAGTATTGTTTTGGTTTTGACCAAATTTTAAAGGGCTAAACTTTCTATCCAACACTAAGTAAATTGGGACTTACCAAAATTTCCGACCGACTCCTTCAGCCTTGTTTGCGTAATGGGCCCTTTTACTGCAGTATTAAACATATACATATCAAAAGTTGTTACTAGCAACACGCTTTGAGAGAGAAATATGACTTATCATTTGCACAGATGATACGGAGAAGGGAAACCTGTGTGGGTTTGCAAAAACCTGGAAGAAATTTCGCCGTTCCTATTTCTTCCGAATTTTATCCATCGTGGTTGCAATAGCGGCCTTGTTTGGCATAGGGATGTCCGCTGTCATGCTCTTCACAGCAACATCGAAAACCGATGCAGAAATGTACCCGGTCAGTCTACATATTTAATCAAACTAAATTAACGTAGTATCATCTGTGTATTGTATACTATAAAGGTATTGTTTCTTGGATGTGTTGCCTGCTCATTCGCTCATTTGAGTATCAGTAGATGTTTGGGGGATTCCCTAACCCCAGACCAGAAAGGTCAGACACAGGAAGTCGGGCCCACTGGCCAGTAATCTAGCTTGAAGCCAACAAGAAGTTGGTTGGTAGTCTCTTGGCCGGTGGTGTGAAAATATAAACAAAACAAATTTACGACAATGAATAAAAAGGGAATTCACATAATTGTACTCATTTTTTTCTTTCTTTACGCATCCACAATTGTGAAATCACCTTCAAAGTGGCGTTGTTATCTCTTCGTACCACAAAAAATCATTCTAGACACAGCATCTTTTTAAGAATAAAGAGAATAACAAAATGTAAAAAAAAACAATAAAGGGTGTGGACACCTAATTTGATTAATGCAACGTACATGGCGTTACTCTTCTAATACACAGGGCTAATATCGACTAAATATATAAAACTAGAGTTCCGCGATCTCATACCTTCGCCAAATGATGTTAATCTTTATGGCTGACAAATATAGATTATTCCCCCTGATTGTGCAGATAGGGTCCTCATTTCCATGAATTATATCAGTCTTTATCATATTCTCAACCAAAAGACAGTCTTATATTAACAAAAGGTGCCATTCTATTATTTCCTCATAAATTATGCAAATAAGGTCCTGATTTAAATACATCAAGTTTAATGATGTTTACCTTCACTGAACTTTCAAATACCACAAGTATGAAATTCCAGGCAGTTATCTTTACAGAATTATAACATTTTCTCATTAATTATGCAAATTAAGTCCTCATTTACATAATCAATATCTGCCTGTGCTTCTCTCCTTCTCAATTACCAATCTCACAAGCTTCAATAGTCCTATCATGGAATGCAGCTGATTTATAGAACATCCCCATAAATTATGCAAATCACATCCACATTTGCATAATTGTCACGTAATTACATCAAGCATCACGTAAGCTACCTACCAAAAATCACGACGATCCGTCAAATGGTTCTTGAGTTATCCTCTTCTGAATATTTTCAAACAGATAGCCCTGCAGTTCCAGAGCAAGCCTCTATGGGGCTCAAACTGATGTCACTTCTTTCCCAGCACAAGAGCTACCTACCACCTAAATTTCGTCACCCTAGCATGTCTAGATCCTGAGATATCAAAACCGGAAGTTTAGCTGCAGTACCATAACAAGCCGCTAGGGGGCCCAAAATCTAATCAGTTCGAGCTCTCATCAAGACCTACCCACCTACCAAATATCAAGATAATCCATCTAAGCTTTCTCGAGATATGCTGTTGACACACACACAGACAGACAGACAGACACACGGCCACGAAAACATAACCTTCTCCAATTCTTGGCGAAGGTAAATATATACATTTAGAATATTGATAATAATCTTTGGAGGTAGGAAAGCCCGCATCAACTTTGTTCATATGGACCTTATAGACGACTGCGCCCGACCGATATCTAAAAACGATCATCTTTCCACCATCTGCTGGACCCAAAATGACAACTGTGCTGTGGGATGTTCCGACTGTGCTGTCAAGTAAGCCGACAGAGGTGAGTACTGTTTCCCTTTGTTAGTACTTTTACTCCATAAATTATGCAAATGAATTCCTTATTGGAATAAATTATGTTTAATGATGCTCAAATGATGTTAACCTTTACTTGACTTTCAAATTCCCCAAATATGAAATGCAAGGGAGTTACCATGATCTTGAATTTTAAAAGTTTATCATTATTATGCATATTTAGGTCTTTATTCACATAATCAATATCTGCCTAATTCTCAATTACATTTCTCAGAAGCTTGAATAGTCTCATCATGCAATGCACATGTGTCCCCACCCGGAAAAATAAACCCAACCCCTCACCCGAGCTTTTTTCTGTATCTAGCGTCCGAGAAAAGAGCTGAAATTGGACCAGACGGGTAAACGACAAAACTCGAAGACAACCAAGAATGGTAGGATATAAATATTCTTGATCTCAACTATTCAGAAGGGTC